AATATGAAGACGTGTTAATAGTAGCCTAAGAAGCACGGCTGTTTCAAGTTCCTGGGTTGGAGTGGTGTGTCTTTATTAGTAGGGGGCCTCAGGACCAAAAAATAGAATTAGTTTTGCCCCAAAAGAAGGCACTAAAATAATATTAATATTATTTCAAGGGGGTTTGGGGAGAGAAAAAGGGGCAGCTGCCCCTACCCACCGTGAGCCAAAAGTCTTCCTTTATAGGAGTTCATTGGTGGCCGTAGATTTTGGAGGTGGCCAGGATCTTATAATGATTCCTGAAGATCTACACCTTGATGGTAACGTGTAGGGTTGGTAACGGCCGAGCCGAGTCACAAGTCTAACCCAACCGATTCCATGGCTGGACTATGAAACATTGACAAGTCGGCCATTGCATTATTTTTAGATCACCCTTAGAAGCTCGAATTCCTTTTGTTTGTGAAATTGGGCTTTTCTCATTAAGATAAGGCCAGGTTTGTATCAGGTTGTTACCTTATAATATACAAGTAAGGCGCATCTGTAAATATTTGTTGGAAGACGTATATCTGGTGTTGGAAACCTTAGTATGAGTCTATGTTCAACCTTAATTATAAAATTTAAAAATTTCAAAGATGATGTGAATCAAACAGATTTTTAAATAATTGAAAATATTGAAAATAAACTGTCTAGATAATTTGTTACAAGATACATTATTTTTTGGATTCAAATTTTTTATTTTTTTATTTTTTCTTATTGTATCTATACGCCTCGAATTGAAGATGATCAATTGGAAAGTTTCCCAACCTCATAATACTATTTGTTACTTGATTTTTTTAGGAACTTCTATATTATAAAGTTATAACTTTATATAAACTTTTTCCTTATAATAATGAATCCTCTGCAAATACATTTTGTGTCAAACTTGGCAAAAGAGCTACACAGAATGAAAACCTGTGGACTACCAAAAATGGATCAAGGGCAGTTACTTTCCATAAATCAATGTACAAAATGGAAATCAATGCACAAAATGGATTTTCAATTTTCTCACGAGATTTCTCTAATTTTGTCAAAGATTGAGATTAGCTTCCATATCCTACGTTCACCATTGGATTATTTGATGGCAGGCAGCATCTCCTTCGGACAATAGCTCAAGTCCTACAACAACTTTCTATAGAAAATTTCTCTCAACCCTCCCACCAGTAGTGCGGATAAAGAGAATTTTACCCCATATTTGGTCCACGTAAAGGCATTTTCACATGAAAAAATTCTCTCATGTAGTTAAATGTGGGAACCTTTTTACATCAATTAGTTGATAAGACCAATTTGTATGATTATATTTCTACACTTAGCCCCATGAGATAATTTATTCATGTTAGAAATATTTTCATGCAAACCAAACCTGCCACGGAAAAGGTTTCTGCTTTTTGAGGTTTTCGTCACGAGTGAGAACAACCTAGAAAGGATGAAATTTTTTGGCTTGGGACCTCTCATGTAGAGAGAGATTGAGTTACGGTAGGGTTGGCAATTGGCTTGGCAGCCTGGTCCAGGCCTAAAAGAGTAGGGCCTGGCTACAAATTATGCTCTAAGGGCTGAGCTAGGACCAGCTTGACCGACTCTCTTTTTTCTTGTTTTTCTTTATTTTTTTTTCATTTGTTTTTTTGGCTCCGCTAGCCCAGCCTTATACGAACAAGGGCCGGGCCAAGGCTAAGGCTGGCCTGACCCGTTGCCACCTTTTAGTTTCTTCTCAAGTGAAAAGACATTTTCGCTTCCCAAAAGGGCAACAATGAAGAAGCACAATTATCCCAGAAAAAGCTACAGGACTGGGAGGCCCAATCGTGAGTTAAAGATGGATAGCCCATCTCTCACACAAACATGAACCTAATAAAAAATTTCCCTTCTAAGATGCCTATATTAATCATTTGTGTTTATTAATTTGCTTGTAACGTTCCTTTGGACTAATAAAACCTAACTTTCTTGGTCTTTTTTTCCTTTGTTTTTTTTCTTTTCCTTTCCACCAATAAAATGAAAAATAAAATGGTTTCTTTTACTTTGCCCTACATTTGTTAGAGGCAAATTATTGGTCAACCCGTACACAATTGATGCCTTCAACTTCCCCCCTCTAGGAAGAGGGGCATGTAAGTTTACTCCTTGGGGGAAAAGACCAAAACTGGAAATATTCTTTCCGGGAGTGAGAAGAGAAAGATTCGGAAGCTAAAGAGAGAGGGGGGGGGATTTTAATAGAAAGAAAGCATGGTTAAAAAGAGAGAGAAAGAGAAGACATCGAAAGCGAAAATATGGCAAGAGAGATGAACTTCTTGAAAAACTACATAAGTGAGGTCTATGGGGGATGGAAGCTTATGTTTTCAATTTTGAAAACACATAACTTCTTAAACCCAGATTCATGTAGTGATTCTTGTTTTCAAAGAAGGAAATCCAACAGTAAACCAGAGTTTTTAACTTCTGGATGTGCATCTTCAATATATCAAACACGTTGTTAATCAAAGATTTTGGGATCTGTAAATGAGTACTAAACAATCAGAATGGATGTTGAGTTCTTAAATACTCAGATCTAACCATTTAAAATTGTATGATCTGTAATTAACGTACTTCGAAGGAATTTTTTTTTCCAAATTTTTGGGAACCACTTAAGAATTATAAGATGATTATTCTTTTAGAAAACATGAAATTTGAGTTTTCTAATGTTTAGATTTCGCCATCTAAAATTTGGATGGCCTCTATTCAATGTTGAGACTATTTTTTTTCATGTGCATAGAGGGTAAAAAAAAAAAAAAAAAAAAAAAAAAAAAAAAAAAAAAAATTAAAAAAATAATATATATATATATATATATCGAGGTTAATCTGTGTTGAAGATGTTACGTCCCAAAAATTTGGGGTCCTAATATTAATTTTGGGTGGGGTTTTACCCTAGGGTGTAAATGGACAATATACACCTATAGAAAGTATAATATTTTTGGCTTGAGTAAATAAGCTATAATTATTTTGTACGTAAGCCCCGTTTGGATAATTTTTTTTTGTTGTTGTGGTAGCAATAGAATATGAAATATGTAAATGAAACCCTTCACTTTTGATGCAAGGAAGTCACTGTCATTATTAACTTTAGGATGTGAAATCGGGTGGTTGATAGTGTGTTATTGATAGGATATAAAACTAAAATAAATTTTTTCAAATATTGTGATATAATTTAATCTATTGGATTTCACATCTCATAGTTAAAAATAATTGTCACCTCCTTGTATGAAAAATAAATAATCTTATAGTATACAATCTCCAAAAGCTACTGACAGTCACAAACAACAAGAAAACCATTGTTTTGCAACTATGTTAAAAATATGAAAATGTTTATATAAGGTGTCAACCTTATACTGTAAAAGTAAGGTGCACCTAAAAAACCTACGAGAGAATGTTGTTCCTATGCTAGAAAACCTTCAAATTGGTCATCTTGACCTTGAGATTCATAAACATATAAAAAATCTGATTTGTAGTACTAAAAATAATTCATTTTTTGATATATTATCTGAACCTTTCATTTCAAGATTTTCAAGTGTTTATAGATCTACTTGATCATTATCATTTCTGGAACTTAAAATTTCATAATGGGTGCAATTTATATAGAGCCGAGCCTCTAAACAATCAAAGTAGAGCGCACCTTCAAATAGTATCGAGAAATGTGGTTTCAATATTGAAAATCTTTATGATAGCCTTAAAATATATTTTTATATTTAATTACGAAATTTAAAGCTTAAAAAATAGTGTAGATCGAACATATCTATGAAAACTTGAAAACCTTAAAAATTGACCGTCCAAAATTATACTATTTCTAAAACTTGAAATCCATTTTTTCTCATGATAATGCATATTGACGTCGAGATGATCAGTTTGAAGATATTTGGTCATCAAAACAACCTCTTCTAGTGAAATTTTTGATGTGGGCCATAAAAAATAAAAAGACTGAGATATTACTGCGGCATACCCAACGGACCCATAAAAAAAAGAAAATTTGTTTCATGTGGGGTGGACCGTATATCTATACATGCGGTCTAAAAAGTGTAAAGCATCCATTTCAAACCTGCATATCAGAGGGGGAGGACAGTGTGCATGACTAAGTGTTGAAAACTAGCAATAACAGGCATGGCAATTCAACGGTGAGGAGAGGCCACATGGAGAGAGGCAATAAGAACATTGGAAACTACATATATTTGGACAAAGAAACATAGTTTAGACTACAATTGCAAAAATTTACCACGAAACACTACAGTAATGGTATTCATTCTAAAAAAAAAAAACACTACAGTAATGGTATTATTTATACATGTATTGTGTAACCATGCAGGTAGCAAGGGAGCTGCGGGGGATGGGTGTGAAGTGCCGGCTGGTTGGGTTGAGTGGGAATGCAATGGAGAGCGATAGAGAGGAGTTTATGCATGCCGGGGTTGACCAATTCCACACAAAACCAATATCACGCGACGTGCTACTCTCTCTTATGCAAGGCCTCCCTCCCTCGCCAGGACTCCTAAATCTGTCTTTTCAACAGTGTCAACCTCTTGACCATCATCACCATGAATCATACACTTCCGCCCTCTTCAGCAGAGACCGTTCAACTTTCCAAGCCTTTACATAGTAAGAATGGCTACAACCATTACATAGTAAGAATGGCTACTCATACCAATTTCCCGCACTTAGAGCCTCAGTTGCATGGAACCGTTCAAATGGATGTCATAGCCGAAGTTTTTTGAGTGACAATCCTCAGCAGCAGCCATGTAATAGATAATAATTTTTGAAGCCAGAGTCCTTCAGAGCCCTCATTCTTCGCAAGGCAACTTTCACCAGAGAATATCAGCAGGGAGAAGGTAAGAGTTCGTATAAAAGACTAGTTCCAGGTGCACTTCGCTGAGCCTATATGCAAGCCCACCACAAATGTGTCACTCTAACTGTAAACAAGAAAAGCATAAAACGTTGCAGTCCTCTTGGATCGGTTTGTAATTGATGATTGCACAGAGCAATTCATTGATGATACTTCCCATTTTGTATTCCTTTATTTATTCCAAGCAGATGACTTTTCAAAGCTTACAAGTGTAACTGGAAAGTACTGGAAATCAAAACAAAATCCTAAAATACCGATATATGGTTTGATGGTATACATGCCATGTGTGCATATCACGTACATATACATACACTCATACATGAGCCATTCAATAAATTTAGCTTCAATGGGAACCAAGTGCTCTCAAAAGAGTTGCCCTTACACGTTCTCTCTCTCTCTCTCTCTCACTTCTCACAATCACACTGTTTTGATGCCGTAGAGGCAGACCGAAAACTGCGTTCCCATGTATCTGAAGGTTCAGCCTGGGAATGAGGGACATGGAGTGGATGCTTTTCTCTTTTGTCGCCCTTTAGTTGCCTCAGCGCGTGGGGTAGAGCAGGCATTAAAGCGTCTATACATTCTGCTACAGCGTTTGGGTTGCCAGGCATGTTGATTATCTGGAAACAAAACAAAATGCCACCCCATAAAATAACCAAGATGAACAAAACATGATTATATATTTTAACAATAAAAAGGGAGGAGGAGATATGGTTTCGGCATTCAGGGCTGTTGCATACGAGTGTGGATCCTCTTATTCCCGCCATGGCACGAGAGAGCATGGCAAATGGGGTCACCTGCTCAGGGATTAAGGGAGGGCATGAGTTCCATGTGATATTATATATATACACAAACAGGGATAACAGTGATTTAAAACTTGGACAGCCCAAGTGGTCTGACTCAGCTGAGTTTGTGTGAATGACAAAGATGTGTCATGATCCCATGAGACACGGATGACTCTCAGGGTTTTTGAACTGGACCCAGCACTCTTCCAGGTCCGAGTGACAGGGCAAGTCAGGCCCAAGTCACTGAGTTATCTAACAGTGGACATAGACATATAACCCGCAAGATAAAAGCATATACGTGTACATATATACCTTTTAACATGCTCTTGAAACCCCATAAATGAATACATATATCTGGTGTAATATATATATCTGGTGTTCAGTGATTCAATAACCAGAGTTGATGGAGTCTCTTTGATATGAGTAAGTTGAAAAAAAATTGCAAAGAAACCATGAACTCCTACCATTTATAACTCAAGAAATGTATCTAAAGGAAGCATGTCTCATGTAATACTAAACTGAAACAAAATAATCAGATGATAAATAGATTCCAGAGCTACACATTATGAAAAGATTCTATAAAGAGACTTCTATCAATGGAAATTCGCCTAGATGCATCCCCATTCAAGAGTACAGATTTCTCAATTTAGCGCACAGAAATAATAAGCCATTTCATATGTTTATCACTTCATTTATATGGCTTGTCATACCTTGAGACTCTCTTGTAGCATCACTTGGAGAAGTCCAGGAGCCTCTCTCTCTATTAAACTCTTTGTTGCTTCCGGGGTAATATCACGGGGAGAGAAGCCCGTCCCACCTTCAAGAAAGAAAGATAAAAGGGCTAAGAAAAGAAACCAGTTCTTTCATTACCTCCATTGATAGTGTTGCACAAATAGCTCGACAATGTTTCAAGGAAGCCATGCCTTTCTTCTCCTCCTTGATAGTCATATACTTTAAATTTGGTGTTTCAGAAATAACAAAATCTATAATCCACAGTGCACTTTTGAACTTTGATTCGACTAAAAAAAAAAAAACATTTACTCGTTTGACCCAATTTGGTCTCAAAATCCAATTTAAGTGCAGCTGAAGATCCAAAAGTTATGCAGGTTTACCTATCCATTGCCTAAACTTACTTTTAAAAACATGAACAATTCATTTGATATTCACTTGAAATCTCAAAATTTTGTTTCATTCTGAATAGCTTCTGCCATCAAGCATACATTGACATTCGATGGGATGGTGAGAAGATTGAAACTATCTTTAAGAATACGAAAGGGGGAGAATGCCAAACCCGAACCTGTAGTTAGAATTAGATTGACTTTCTTGACATCACTCCAATTTTTCAGAACATTTTGGATTTCATTGACCTCATCTGGAGCTACGGCTGTTGCCACCACTTTTGCTCCTCCTAACTTTTCTGACAAAGAATTTATGACGGAAACCGCCCTTGGACCACTGCAAATACTCACATAAATGTCAATAATCAACATTCATTTCTAGGGGTATTGAAGCTTCAAGCTGAGTTTTTACTATTGCTACTATTGCTCTTTAAAGAGGTGCGAAGGCTGGTAGTTAATGGTTTAGTTGTTTCAAAACTTGAATCCAGGCCATGACCAAGCCCTTGGCTTGGCAAGTCCAGAGTCTCTATGAGCCTACCCTAGTCCCCAAAACAAAAAATAAAAAAATAAAAAAAGGCCACAGAAAAGGAAAAAAATGTGAAAATGAGGAAAATGAAACAAGTCAAAATATAGTATGCATGTGGAGAACAAAATAGAGATCTTATAGATACCAAGGGTCAGAGACAAGTTTTGGCATCGTTCGCTATTTGGCATATGTTCAATTGTCCAAATTGGAGTATATAGCAATAGCGACATTCATAAGAGCAGCGACATTCATAAGAGCATACGAAATCACAATATAATTTCACAGTGACTCAAAACTACACCCAAAATGAATGGCAAAAAGGATCAGTGTCCCCACGACAATCTCCATATCGGATAAAAAACGACTGATGGTTTGGTAACTTCGGAAGACCTTCCTGACCTAATATCCTCAAGGCTGGTCCAACCTCCTGCCAGCTCCTACCATGCTACTCATGCTCTCTTTCACGGCTCCTCCTGTCATCATTGTCCACTTCAGTGGTCCCATCACCATCATCATCGTCAGATCATCTCCTCAATCTTCCTCTTGCTCCTCAACTTGTACACTTCTCCAATTCTGTATAACTACAATCCCACCTTCCCTTCCTCATCAATGGGCCCAAACTCTTTCTCCAGTACCCTCTTTCTCGAACTGGTTCCTCCAGTTCCCCCAACCACTCTATTATTCCTTTACAAAGATGTGGTTCCAAATAATACCCTCAGAGACCCTCATCGACTCTTGCTTTCAGAGGTTTAGTTTGTAATGGACATAGACCAGCATGTGAAGATTGGCTGCAACCAACCTGTTCCTTCTGGGTGAGTAGATCCATTTGAATGTCATCCAGTTTCTCTCATGCCCCATTGCAGAACAGGTTTGACTGAACACTTCGATTGTGATTCTCTGTAGGAGAGGAGCTCTAGTGCCATGTAGTTCTCATAACTTTGCTGAGAAAAGGAGAAGGAACAATAAGGAGTGTAATGATAATAAAAAAAAAATGTTTCAGAAAATAATATAGCTATAGGCACTTGAAAGCTAACTTGGACCCAGCTGAGTCCAAGAATTTAATTTCCCGTGGGAATTCATATACAGAGAAACTAAAAATGAGGCTGATTAGTTCTCTTATGTGGCATAGATCACTGATAAATGCCCTAAGCTGAAGAAACTTCTTCTCGAAGTATGTCTCCCTTACCTCCTTCAAAGCTTCGAGCTGTATTTTACTTTTTCCATATCCTTTAACCTCTTGATTCAATATTTCACTCCCTAAATAATCTCAGGGGTGATTAGTTTGCTCCCAAGCAAAAAGGTGTGCCGGGTTGAAGAAGAAACCTAGATAACACATACATTTAAGACAAGAACTCATGATCAGTTACATGAACCTTCACAAGACATGAACCATAAATCATAATCCAAAATTTCAAATTCAAAATGGTTATAGCTGTTAGATGTTTAAATGTTAAACTGCCTATTCACTGTGTGGGTGTCGCAGTGAAACAACTCATTCCATCACTCATCGAATATTTCCTGGACTTTCTGATGGAATGTGCATGTCATTTTGATGTCTTACTTTGCACGATCAGCTGCTTCATATAAGAAACTATAGCAGGTTTCATGTCAGTGTCCACCATCTTTAAAACTGCCATGAGGAACTTCAATAATTACAATTAGCTCGTACCTATCCCGTAACCTCCCTTCAAGCTCTCTTGCAATCCCTTCTTCCGAGGCAACCATCTTTTTAAGGTCAGCTCGCGACCTCAATATCTAATTGATAGACAAGAATAAGGTAGTGACTCCAGTAATGGCTGGCCTAATCAGCTCCCACTGCGTAGTGCCTCATTATGTTGAGAACCCGCGAATGGTTCTATATATATTTGGTAATTTCCTTCCCCATCTCAACATAGTCATTTTACATGCTTTAGTTGTTCAATATCTCCGAGCATCAGGTCGATCAGGAGGGCTGGCAAGGAACTCCAGAGCAAATGCTTTCTCTTCCTCGTCAGCCTCTTTCTTGCATTGATGTAGTTCTTTGCATTTGTCAGCTATAACTTAGACTTGTACTCACCGACAGCCTTCACCACATCATTCAAATGCCCGAACATTAGCTTCCCAGTCTTCACCTTATTAGGGGCATTCATACTAGCGGATTTGTGGATATTGAAATGCTTGTTTATTTATTTATTCATTCATTTTCTTAATTATTTATTTACTTAACTTTGAATTTTTCAATTGATAAATTTGCATTGATTCCTCAATATGCATATTAGGACCCATTTATTGAGGAATTCTTTTCACCTCGAATAATATTTGAGCTGACAAAGAAAAAGAAGGTTGGAAGAGGTGGTTTTGATATTGGGTTCATCTTAATACACTTCGAGGACGAGTTTTCTCCAACTAGGGGACAATGATGGAGGGAAAAATTATTCTTATTTTTACTTTTATTCAATTTTAAAGGATGTATATTTTGATTTTGTTTTTAGGATTTTTAAATTTTTTTGGGACTCTTGGGTTTTTTATATTTTCTTTATCTACTATTCACGGTTCATGGGTATAGCTTACATCTCACTGTTCACGCATTACTATTCATGGCTACAATTCATGTATTACAGTTCACAGATATTGTTCACGTATTACTGTTCATAGGGGCAAATTGTCATTACAAATTTAAGTTAGGATCTACGGGTCAGCATATTATTTTTTCGGACACTTTTTGTATTTCGAATATTAAATTATAATATATAAGTGGTGTGTGGGGCCCTAAGGGGGTCATTCCATATGATTTTTAGAAATTGAAAGAGCTTAGGCTTTATGAATCCTAGCTTGGATTATGGAGAAGAAATCCTAGGTTTATTTGAATTGTGCTTGTGTTTGGCTTTGTTTCTTGTCGATTTTACTGTTTCTTCAAGTTCTCTACATCACCTATGGTTTTGGGGGCCAAAATGCTCCCCAAATACTATTTTGCCCTAGTCAATGGGGGAAATAACTTTTTTTGCCCTTTTGGCAAGGGCAGTTTCAGCCCTAACTGAAAGGCCCCTAAGTGGTGCCCTGGGGACCTAGTCGGCCGCCCTGGGTCACCCTTTGACAATGGGCTACATAAGCCTAATATAATGCGGCCAAGCCTCCCAGCCGCCTAGGCGACCCACCTAGGCAGCCCACAGCGGACTTTTTTAACATAGCCGATTTGCAACTTTTCTAAAAAAACAAATCATTGTTGGCACCCAAACAGAGAACATCCTAGTGGGGATTGGCATCGCTAAATGCATCGAACGTGCAAACACATGTAATTAAAAAAAGAAAAGAAAAGTAAAGCATTTCAATGCCTCAGAAATAGCTTGTTTCTAATTTTTTTCTCAAGAAAATATTTGTTTACACCCAAATGGAATGCATTCAGGTCTGAATGCATTTGGGGGGAATTAGCATACCTAAATGCATTAAACGTGCAAACACACGTAGAGAAAGAAGCATTTCAGTGATAAAAAAAATGGTAATTTCCAAAAGCAAAACGCATTTTTTTGCGAAACAAAATGACAGAAATGAAAAATCTAAATAATGTAGATGAAAAACTAAAAAATAGAGTTAGTAAATCTAGAATGAATTGGGGAAAATAAATTACTACACAAAACAAAACATTTAAAGGCATATTCCATAATAGGAAAAAGAGGTTATGACCTTTTTCTTATCTCTATATATAATTTCTACATATTCATATTCGTCAAAGCCTTTTCCCAATTAATTGGGGTCAGCAAGACGAATTTTGGTCTGCCATTCTACTCTATTAAGGGCCGTACTCTCAGTGAGGTCATAAGTCCGCATATCTTTTCTCACTAATTCCAACCATGTCCCTTTGGGCCTTCCCCTTGCCCTTTTTGAGCCTTCCATTTGAACTAATTCGCCCCTCCTAACAGGTGCTATACTAGATTTAAGCTACATATGACCAGCCCACCTAAGTCTACTCTTTCTCATTTTAGCGCCTATTGGTGCCACACCTAAATTTTTTTTAATGCATTCATTTCAAAATCCACATGTTATTCTAAAAAAATGAAAACACAATATCAATGTGAAATGGACCCTAGATCCATGTTGATCTATAGTATCTTGAAGAAATCAAACCAGATTTATAATTGTCTACTAAAAGTATCAGATTTAAAAAAAAAAAAAAAAAAATGAAACATAGAGACTGTAAATAAGTTACCAGTCATAGATCGACCCTCAAACTTTATGAAACGAACCCCTAATGTATTTTCAGGCAAGCCTTGGGAAATCTTCCTTTTGTTGAAGTTAACTATTGTATTAAGAAAAGAGGAGAATACAGTATTCCTTCGAGAGAGCCCATAAACCGGGCCTCTCGGCAAAAAATAGGCTTCCAAAAAATTAGCCCTATACAAACAATGGATGGGGCTTATAGCAGTTTCCCATTTATAGAGGATTTACAAAAACGTAGATGGAGATGTGGCAAAAAAAACCCATGCTGTTATGATCCTGCAACACGTGCCACCGCTCCCTCCTTAGTCAGTTGATTTGCCAAGGCGTTTGACGTCCTTGGTAAAATCTTATTTAACCAAATGCTAACAATGCTGAGAACCAATCTTATGGATGTCTTTTAGGTGCTTAATATCCCGTGTCGGCTGTAAAGGCCATGTTCCTTTTTTCTTTTACAATTCCCACAAAGCGTAACAGTTTAATAAATTGTAGGATTTGCCAACTCCTAGCTGGCTTAGCCTAGACTTGGGGACACAGACAAGTCTGGCTCAGTCTCAGAATGTGACAAAGAATATGCTGGGTCCCTGTAGGGATTCACCCAGTTCTGCACAAGATCCTAA